GGATGCAGCTAGTCATTATAGAAACATATAGCAGAGAGGCGATTATTGCCATTGGTCCTAACTTTGGGTTGGGTGGTGGTTCATCTATGGGGCTCTATATTGTTGATTTAGTATCTCGTTCGTGAATGATGCAATTTACCTTAGCCCCTCGAGAGTGTGATAATGCAGCTGGCTTTATGGCGAGGGTGGCTCGACATTGCTCCTATGGTTTACATATCCTCCTTGCTCCCCGGAAGCCGCTGCCCAAACTATTTCGATTGAAGCTCGATTTATTAGGAAGATCATGTAGTCTAACTCTCTTTATGTTTGCTTAATCGATTCCATTAAAAAAATTACGATTTTTACATATATAAAATCAGAATGTTCACTACAGTAAAAGTGTTCTGTAGCGGCGTTTGGAGAGTAAACGCCACAATATTTTGAAATATAGCGGCGCTTATAATCCAAACGTCGCCAAATGATAATATAGCGACGCCGCAATAGATTGGTAATTTAGCGGCGTTTATGGCACAAACGTCGGTATAGAGTTATTTATAGTGGCGTTTTACCAACAAATGCCGCAAAAGTGTAGTCATTTAGCGGCGTTTGTATAAAAACGCCGCTATTGAGTATTAATGGTGCGGCGTTTTTTGATAAACACCGCAATATGGTTGTTTTTAGTGGCGTTTTATGTACAAATGTTGCAATATAGTAGACATATAGTGGCGTTTTAACAAGAAAACACCACAATAGAGAAGAAATTTTACGGCGTTTTAGGCCAAACGCCACAATATAGCAGTAATTTAGCGGCGTTTATACCTCAAACGCCGCAATAATTAATACTTTCGCGTCGTTTTTAGACAAACGCCACAATAGTATTAATCAATAGTGGTGTTTTTTTATAAATGCCGCAAAAGTATGTGATATAGTGGTTTTTTTAAAAACGTTGCAAAATGTTAAATATATGGTCCTCCTTTTCTCCTACTTGAACCCTAAAATCATTTCAACTCTTTTTCCCTCAAACCTTCTTCTCTGGTACAACAACAGACTGAGGACGATTCCAAGTGACGTCGTCTTTTGAATGTCCCGACGACCAAATCTGCCCTCTGATTGCAGAGTTGAAACAATTATGGGAAGGGGTAATTTATTTTGTTGTTAGGTTTTATTTTGCATAACTTGTGGGTTAATTAAAATGTATGTTTGTTAATTAGATAAAGTTACATATATCAGTCAGTTTAGCTTATGTAGAGTAGAAATTAAATATGTTAAATCATTTTTATCTAAATAAAGGTAATTAGTGCCACTAAATTTAGACATATAGCGGCGTTTTTTAATAAACGCCGCAACAGATTAGTACTTTAGCGGTGTTTCGAGAAAACGACGTAATAGGGTTAACATATAGCGGCGTTTTGGTATCAAACGCCGTAAATGATTCAGACTTTAGTGGCGTTTTGATAGAAAACGCCGCAAATGTTTTTTATTTAAACGTCATTAACTTTAGACATATAGCGGCGTTTTTTAATAAACGCCGCAAAAAATTAGTACTTTAGCGGTGTTTTGACAAAAATGCCGTAATATGGTTCACATATAGCGGCGTTTTGGTATCAAACGCCGCAAATGATTCGTACATTAGAGGCGTTTAGACAAAAATGCCACAAATGTATTTTATTTAAACATCATTTACTTTAGACATATATCGGTGTTTTTTAATAAACGTCGCAATAAATTAGTACTTTAGCAGCGTTTTGACAAAAACGCCGCAATAGGTTGCACATATAGCGGCGTTGTAGTAACAAACGCCGTAAATTAACGATACATTTATGGCGTTTTGACAAAAAAGGCCGCAAATGTTTTTAACATTAGTTGCGTTTATAATTAAAAACACTGCAATTGGTTACCCTTCAGTGGCGTTTGTATTGTTAAACGCCGCAAAGTTCATTTATAATATTTTGGTGCTTTGATTCTATGTTATTATCAGTTGAAAAAGATGTCAATAATAAACAATGATGGTGTGCGTTTACAAAAAGATTGAAAGATTTTAGAAATTAAATAGTTCATATATCAAAATTGACACTTAGGGTCCGTTTGTTTCACTGAAAACGTTTTTCATAAAATATTTTCCGTAAAATGAATTACATTTTATGAAAAATATTTTCTGGAAAACACTTTACGATATTTGGAAGATATTGTTTAAACCATTTTTCCACTAATTGATGAATTTTTAAAAATTTATTTATTACAAATATTAAATACAATAAATAATATTATTTATTATAAAACTTAATAATATTATTTTTAAAATATTAAAATAATTTATTTATTATTAAAATATTATTTTTAAAATTTTATTAATATTTGTATATTTTATTGAAATAAAAATATTATAAATTATATTAATTATTTATTAAAGTAATAATGTTATATTATATTTTAAAAATATTAATTAGTATATTTTAAATATCTTTATTAAAATATTATTAGATTATTATATTAATATTAAATATAAAAATAATATTATTCATTATTAATAATTTAATAATATTATTTCTATGAAATTAATAAATAATATAAAATTTATTAATAATTTATTATATATTATTAAAATAAAAAATATAATATCTTATATTTTTATAATATAATTGATTATTTAATTATAATATTAAAAATATAATATTATATTATTAGAAATATTAATAAATATATTTTTAATATTTTAGTAATTAATATTTTGATTAAAAATGAAATTAAAATATTTATTAATATTATATTCATAAAATAAAATTATTTTGAGTATTTATTTTATGAAGTGAATAGTTCAGAAAATGACTTACAGAAAATCAAATCGTGAGTCATTTTCTAGAAAACACAAAAGAAATTATGTTGACCAGACAGTTTTCTCCAACCAAACACTGAAAAATGAGGAAAACATTTTTCAAAAAGAGAAAATCGCCTCAGTGACCAAAAATACCTTATAATATACGATTTTAACCAATTTTTTTTGGATTTGCCAAAATGACCAATAAAATCGCAACGCGATTTAGAAAATCGCAACATTAAAAAGAAAATCGCAACGGTCAAAAGAAAATCGCAACGCGAGCTTCCAAGTTCGCAACGCGATTTAGAAGAAAATCGCAATGCGATTGATAGAATCGCAATGCGATTTATAGAATCGCAATGCGATTGAGAGAGTCGCAACGCGATTTAGAAGAAAATCGCAATGCGACTGAGAGAATCGCAATGCGACTGAGAGAATCGCAATGCGATTTATAGAATCGCAATGCAATTGAGAGAATCGCAACGCGATTTAGAAAATCGCAACGCGATGTTAAAAAAAATTTGTTTCTTAAGAATTTTCTCTAAAAAGATAGTATCCGCGCGGACGTGTCGAAGACACGTATTACCACGACCACGACCACGACCACGACCACGACCACGACCACGACCACGACCCGACCCGACCCGACCCGACCCGAGACGAGACGGCGGCGCGCGAGAGTCCCCCTTGTCCTCTTTCACTCAACAAGGAAGTGCAAAATACAAGCCTTAAATACCATTCCCAATAGTATTTCCAATACTATGTGGGATTGAGCATTACCAACACTTGTTCCAAATATCATTATTCTTCATAAGTTATCATCCATTACAATATGAATTAGTCGTGTTAATGAACCAATATACCTCATTAATATATGGTATTGTTGAACAAAAGAATGATGATGATGATCTTATTAAAGACCATCTAATACGAAAGAATCCAATGCATAACCGATACCTTATTGTGAAACTAATTCACATAGAGGTTGTACGTGAAAAAAAAATCTTTTACTTTTATAGTAAATATCTATCTCAATAATTTTAATATAAAAAATATATTTTTTATTTAATAATAGAATTATTTCATGTATTTATCAAGTTATAGTTTTAAATACTTATTAAAATGAATTAATTTATTATCGATAATTCATATTGTAATGGATGATAACTTATGAAGAATAATGATATTGGGAACAAGTGTTGGTAATGCTCAATCCCACATAGTATTGGAAACACTATTGGGAATTATATTTAAGGCTTGTATTTTGCACTTCCTTGTTGAGTGAAAGAGGACAAGGGGGACTCTCGCGCGCCGCCGCCGCCGCCGTCTCGTCTCGGGTCGTGGTCGTGGTCGTGGTCGTGGTCGTGGTCGTGGTCGTGGTCGTGGTCGTGGTCGTGTTCGTGGTCGTGGTCGTGGTCGTGGTCGTGGTCGTGGTCGTGGTCGTGGTCGTGGTCGTGGTCGTGGTCGTGGTCGTGGTCGTGGTCGTGGTCGTGGTAATACGTGTCTTCGACACGTCCGCGCGGATACTATCTTTTTAGAGAAAATTCTTAAGAAACAAAATTTTTTTAACTATTCTTTTGACCGTTGCGATTTTCAACGTTGCGATTCTATAAATCGCATTGCGATTCTCTCAGTCGCATTGCGATTTTCTTCTAAATCGCGTTGCGACTCTCTCAATCGCATTGCGATTCTATCAATCGCATTGCGATTTTCTTCTAAATCGCGTTGCGAACTTGGAAGCTCGCGTTGCGATTTTCTTTTGACCGTTGCGATTTTCTTTTTAACGTTGCGATTTTCTAAATCGCGTTGCGATTTTGATATCGCGTTGCGATTTTATTGGTCATTTTGGCAAATCCAAAAAAAGTTGGTTAAAATCGTATATTATAAGGTATTTTTGGTCACTGAGGCGATTTTCTCTTTCAAAAAACGTTTTAGGTGAAACAAACAGACCCTAATATAATGTTCAAAAGTGAAATTATAAAATAATGGGTTTTATTAATATGGTTCAAAAAAAAGTTTTATAAACATACTATATCTGTTGAAATAACGAAAGTTAACGGTAATGTAAAGTGATAACGTAAACGATTAAAACATTTTTTTTACAAAAATAGATAATTAAAATTGAACAAAACCAAAGAAAAATGATCAAAATTATAATTTAACCTAACTTTATTCAAGGAAAAGAAAATAAATTAGTGAATATTATAACTATAAAAGGAGATCACCCTCCAAATCTCTCATTCCCGGACGTTTCTAGGTTTTCTGAATCGATTCCCCAAAATTCCATCCCTGGATTTTGCCAATCCATTACTTGCCTGATCTTCGCTGACACTTCATCTCTTTTCGGTTTTTGTTACCATTTATCAAACCATTGTGCAATTTGGGCGATTTCTCACTGTGTTTAAAGGTTCGTTCTTTCCCACAAAACTTTCATTTTTTTCTTAGTAGATCTCGAGAATTAAATTCAGCTTTTTTTTTTAAAGAGGACACGGTAAAGTTAGGATTTGATCTAGGTTCTATCTGGTCCCCAGGAGAATCCAAACAAGATGGTTTCAGTTTATCCATTTTTTCTTTTTCCCTTTTACAATTAAATGTTCAATTTTAAATAAAAGATATGTTTTTAACACCTTAAACTTAACTGGGGCCTCACATCTGTTTGTGGCTTAGCGAATCAGGTTATCTTGTCTTGTTTGCTTTTCTTTTTTTTTTTGCTTCTGTTTATCCTTAGTTTTTTAAGTGATTTTGACACATAATTCTTTTATTTACAGGGAAGAAAAACAGGCGAGACTGTGCCATAAAACTGGGTATTTCATTGATTATCTGTAATTTCTGGGAACCTTAAATGTATCCAAACTTAACTTTGGATATTTTTGTTTGAATTGATACTTGACTTGATGAGAAAGAAAAGGAAAGGAAGTGAAACTAATGCATCTCCGGAGGTAACCAACAAATTTGCTTCGGCTTGTGATTCGAGATCATCTAATATTAGGTCTCATTTTTCTTTAGAAGATTATGCGAGGATAAAAAAGAGGTGCAAGGAAGATGTGGATGCAGCTCCTGTTGGTTCGTGTAAAAGTAGACTTGCTGGCATTGCTACTGCCCCACCTTGTGGTGCGTCCTCTTTGGTCCCTCTGGGAAGAGGTCTTAAGAGGAAGATAGGTTGCATTGAGCGAATTACACTGATTGGTGGCAAGAAAAGGATCGAGGATGATTATGTTAAAGGTGTTACAATTGGTCAGGGGAAATTTGGGTCAGTTTGGTTGTGCAGGTCTAGGACTAGCGGAGTAGAGTTTGCTTGTAAAACCTTGCTTAAGGGAGAGGAGACAGTTCACAAAGAGGTAGAGATAATGCAGCATTTATCTGGTTATCCAGGGGTTGTGACTTTGCAGGCGGTGTATGAGGAGCCAGACTACTTCCATCTTGTAATGGAATTGTGCTCTGGAGGTCGTTTAATTGACCAAATGGCTGGATGTCAGTTTTCAGAGCAACGTGCTGCTAATATTTTCAAAGATGTGATGTTAGTCATTAAGTACTGTCATGAGATGGGAGTTGTGCATAGAGATATAAAGCCCGAGAATATTCTCCTCACAACTTCAGGAAAGATAAAGTTGGCAGATTTTGGTCTTGCCATGAGAATTTCGAATGGTGAATATCTGGCACCTACTTTGAAGAATATTTTCTTTTTCTTTTTGTTGATTCTCTTATATTCTTGCTTTGCATATTATCTTGCAACTCAACATTCAATGTATGAAGTTATGAAGTTAGTATTTTCTCAATGTTCATCAAGCATGGCATATTTTTTTTGAGATTGCAAAATACCTGGCACACATGCATAAATGGAGAGAGATGCATGAAGGGATTCTTCCTGTTTGTTTCTTGATGAAGAGAATCTAAGATGCCATTGACCTGGAATATGATGTATTTTTTTTTCTATAGCCATGTCTTGGTTGGTTAATGTAAAGAATCTACTGAAGAAGAGGATTAAGGAGATTTTATATTTCCAGGTGCTTAAATTTATAATGAATGATAACAATTTCAAGCAATAAAGATGTCTACAACCATCAGTTTCATGTTTAGCAACTGAGCAGTGCCAATATCTGTCACTGAACATGTGAGGGACTGTGGCCTTGTTTTAGTCTATCAAACCACACCATTAGTGAAATTAAATTAAAACATAATTGCTAAAAGAATTGAAAACTATAGATTTGCAGGGGCTAATAGTTATTATCCTTGAATTACAAGCCAAACATAATAGTTTTTTTCTTTATTTACTTTCAAAGTTCCGATGTTCTAAACTTATTAATCATAAACTGTTTTAGCTAATTTCTTTCCCCTGATCATTTTTTTGCTCAAGTAGATTCGATCATGGTGGAAGATGCTTGTAGTTATTATCCTTGAGTTACAATCCAAGCATAATAGTTTTTTTCTTTATTTATTTTCATTGTTCCAATGTTCTAAACTTATTAATCCTAAACTGTTTTAGCTAATTTCTTTCCCTTGGTCATTCTTTTGCTTAAGTAGATTCGATCATGGTGAAAGATGCTTGCAGTAGCATATTGCCTTTGAAAGCTTTTGTTTAGTGTTAGTTTGTTTCCTTTTTGTGCTGTGCCTAAACTTTTTATGTGACGCGATTATTATTCACTACAGGTCAGGTTTTGTCTGGTTTGGCTGGAAGTCCGGCTTATGTTGCGCCTGAGGTTCTATTGGGAAATTATTCTGAGAAGGTAGATATATGGAGTGCGGGTGTGCTCCTACATGTGCTTTTGGTTGGTGTTCTTCCGTTTCAAGGAGACTCCTTGAAGGCCGTATTTGAGGCTATAACTAACGCAAAGCTTGATTTTCACTCGGGAATATGGGAATCTGTATCTAAACCTGCACGTGATCTGCTTGCTAGAATGCTGACCAGGGATGTTTCATCAAGAATAACTGCTGATGAAGCATTGAGTAAGCTCTAACTTTCTCTTTCTTCAATGGTAGAACAATGAAATGATACATACATTTTTGTAAAAAAATTGCAAACTAGCCTTGTATTCTTCAGTGAACCATGTAACTTTGAAATTATATACAGTGTTTCATCAATCTTATTTTCATCATGAATTCTGCTTTCTTTTGATTGTTTCTGCAACTCATCTTGTTTTTCAAATTTTGTGGTCCTTGTTTGTATCTTTATTTCCAAACTATATGTTATAAAATTATAAATTTGTCTTGGGACATGAATAGTGGCTTACTCCTGCAGTTCTTTTAAAAGCTTAATCTTTTAGACTTCATATCCTGACATTTGAGCTGTCCAACTTCAGGACATCCGTGGATATTGTTCTACACTGAGCGCTCATTAAAGACCTTATCCATCAAATCAAAGTCGAAGAATCAAGTAGGACTTTCCATCCAAGTTTCCCATTCTCCTGGAGCTGAATTTAGTATGAGTAGGATAAATGGTGGTTGCCATACTCAGGGTCCACAACCAGTCTTAACATGTCACAGCTCTAGCTGCAAATCAGAGGAACAAGATGAAAATGGTCTGGTGGATGTGCTTGCCGTGGCAATTTCCCATGTGAGGATATCTGAACCAAAGAGGACCAGACTTTGCAGTCCCACAGGACCTATAGAGCAGCAGTGTTCATCTAATCTGACGGCTAACAACCTCTGTAGAGCCTTCTGATCTGGTTGACAGTGCTAATATGATTGTCATCTCTACTGTTTTTCGAGCTTGGGACTTAGAATTTAACTTAGTCCTCTTGCAATTTCAGTGGCAGATGATGCTTATGGTGGATTAACTCAAGACATCAATCTATCCCTTATGGTGTTATCGCTTGGCAAAGCTTTTTGGCTTCCAAGCCATGCTGTTTTAACTAAATAATTGTTTTAGGATGGAGAAAATTGATGTACAGAATTGATGTTTCTCCGCAGTTGTACAGGTGTGTGTGGAAGGCTTCACTCGAGAGTAACATAGCTAAGTCTTGTAGAAAGTATGCACAGGCTTACAAAGATATGTTTTATATTGAGTAATAGCTCTGGAAGCAATCTTAATGGATAGCAAAGACTTTATTGTAATGGGAAAACAAGGTTGAAATTTACTAATTCATGTGGAGATTGGATGCATCGTAAAAAGTCTTTATTCATGTTTTTGTTAATCACTTTGATCTAGAGCATGAACATAATGCGCATTAATTAAAGCCATGGATTATTGAAAAAGCGAATATCTCTTTTGAAGGACATAACGTATACATAGGACACAAGAAGTCAATGGCGTGGAATTCACACACTTTACTGCAACGAAACAAGATTCAGTTCTGGGTGCTGCTAAGGTTTTCGATAAAACGGTCAACACACATTCTGATGAGATAGAAGGAATATATGGAGCCAATAGCAAAACCAAGCTTATTGTTAACGTGGACGACATGATTGGTATTAACGAACCCAAAGAGCTGACTCAAAAATGCAACAAAAACTTCACGTTTGAGATTTAATAGCTCATAGTTTGATGATTATACTGTGAGGGTGGATGAGGATTTGAGCTCAAAATATTTGCATCATTCGACCAAGTTCATGGTAGTTCCAAAAGAACTCCACAAGCTATATATAGGTTCGATGATACAGAAAGGGTTGGCAATAACACCAATTCATGGCTTCAACCAGTGTGCAAGTCTTTTGATCCTGGTATTGTCAAAAACCACTGTGATGCAAAAAGGCTGATTGGGAGTAGATCTAGTGATGCGTCTATTCAAAGTGATATTAAGTTGTGGCCATTTCAGGTCATCTCTAGATTTGGGCATAAATCCATACTTTCTTTCATGTGTGACAAAAAGAAATTTATTGTCATAATACATTTTTAACAACTTTCAGCTTCCAAAAGCAAAGGCTGCTAGCGTAATGGTTGGCTTTAAGGCGCATAGTATTAATGAAACTATGATTGCTGCCATTGTTATTGACAAGAAGGCTACCACAGTAGGCGAAAAAATTTATTAACCTTTAATCTTGGTATTGGTCCATACATGCTTTGTTGGTTATAGTAGGTGGAGCATACTTCGTGCCAGGGTTGGTATTGATTTGAATAGGAACTTTGTGAAGATTGTGTACTGGTATGACAATGAATGGGGTTATAGACTTATAGATGCGGGTAGTACTTCGAAGGATAGACAATCAGGTTGGATTCCCAAATTGTTGTCAAGTTTGAATGGTGGTTATCACATTCTTATGAGCCTCTTCTTTTCCATCCTTGGGGGCAAGAATGATTTGGAAGGGAAGGCAGTGGCAGTCTATACAAGCCAAACTGTTAGAGAGTTGGATGGCGATGGTGTCACATTGAGCTCTAGCAATGCTGACTGATCTAATAGCGTTGGATTCAAATGAAGTTTCTAAACCATCCATCCTTTGGAAGCTCCAATTGGATGCTTGTAGTGTTTTTGATCCTCCTAGTGCAACAGTTAGACTCATCAAAGCTGATGAATTTGTTGAACTTGTAAAAAGACGCTTTGAATTCATTAACTACATACCTGAGTGGAGCATACAACTGAGAAAAACTGGTGACGAGAATGAGCCTAAGAAAAATCAGGAAATATCAATGAGGTGTTGCATGGATGGTAAATTATCAACAAGAAAAATCCAAGTAGCTTGCATCAACCAACGAAACTCACACAGGAGGAGTATGGTTATGTTCACAAAAGCATGCTCATGGTGGGATTGGACACCTTGCTGTGAAGCACTTATCTATTGAAGGTCTTATTGAATGCAAGGATATTATATTTGTATCAAAGAAGCTTATCTTTGAGCATTGTGGACTTGTAAAAGGTGTTATCGATTTCAATGAATTGCAGCTCAACATCTCTTATATGGTACTACAACTGAACAAGTTTGATGGTGTTTCGGAAAATCCTGATAAAATATATTGAGATGTTAAATGATTGTGCGTATGATTTTGTGTTAATTCCTTTTGGGGTGCATGGAATGCTAGAGGAGCTGTTCAACTAAAAGAGGCATCAATGGAATTTCTGCAAATGTACTTAGAGTGGTTCATGCTTCATGTTTTCGCATTCAGCAAACACCAACTTGATGGGTGGCAGGACTTTTCTGCCATTGCAAATTTCAAATAGAAAGAAAAGGAGGAAAATAAAATTTCAAATTCACTTTCCCATAATTAAAATATGATTTGCATAACAGCTTAGGCTCATTCCGATGGTCATAGGTAAGTGCTTTCCATCCATAAAGAGACAGAATAAGAGCTTGGCTGCTTGAGTTGAGTGCATACCTTTGTCAACACCAACATTACATTCGAAGATAAGAGTTATGGGAATTTTCTTACCGAATTTAAGTTTTGGAGCTGCAAAATCTTTGACAATTGGGTAATTGACATCAAAATGATCCCCAATCTTTACTGCTTTTGGTAGGTGTTATTTTAGGTATATCACATACATTTCAAGTTCAAGGAAACCCAGGTTTTTTTCCCTGCAACACCATTAAAACCTCAATTAAAGCAAAGATTTTGTAAAGAAATAAACAAGTGGGAGGGAATGGTGCTGTGATCACTGTTCACTTCCCAGTTGGGGTCATGGAAAAAGCAAGATCAATCCTGGAAACAGTGCAACCGAAAAGGGTTTTGTACTTAAAATATACTATTAATTGATTAAGTTTTAATCAAAAACAAAAGTTTTAAGGAAAAAGTGGGGATTGAAGATATTTTAGTAAAAGTGGTGCAGCAGTAGACACAGAGAGAGCACACTTTAGTGGTTGAGCTGTGGTTGAGCTGATGGTGCTTAGTTCAACCATGATGCGCTTAGCTTAAACCCCACCAACTGGGGTTGTGCTTGTGTCACGGTCTTGCTTATTATGTTTATCCACACAATTTCATTATTATTATTATATAATATATGTAAAAAGTAAAATAACAATATATTACTAGCACCACTGTTAGTTTAATGGAGAAATTAATATTGAATTCCTCTGGTGCTGAGGTATCCACCAATCTGTTCAAAGCACACCAACTTTTTGTAACTCCAAAAGTAGCTTTACATAGTTTACTATTTCTTTTATTCTTTTTAGTTCCATTTTCATATTTGTTCCATTTCTTATATCAAAATCAGAATTTTGAGATTTGGGATCAACCCAATTCTCCGTACAACTTAAGCATTATTGTTTTCTGTTGCTGTTATAAGTTTGGTGGTGAGCAGCATGCAGCTGGATGAGTATTATAGTATTGAATAGCATGTGGAAGCCATAGCCAAAACATGGAAAGAGGTAGTTTTAATAAATTAAGGCCCTTCATTCATTGATTCATTCAGTTTAAAATAATGAAGTCAAGCCTGTCAAATGATGGGATGATATCTTCCAGTTGGAGAAATGGATCCATCAAAATGGGGTGTTTTCATGTGTGATTACCCAATTCTCTAATAGGGCAAGATCTCGGACCTAAATGTAAAGTCATTATCACTATTTTTCTTTTCATTTGAGACATGGATAGTTGCCCGACAAAGAAAGAAAGAACAAAAGCCAAACTACAAAGACAAATGATCAAATCAAAGAGGGAAAAAAAGGAGAGGCTACCTTGGAAATGGCCACTGAAACAGTAGAGGGAGAGCCAAAAGCTTTGCTTCCCCATCACTTATTCAATTGCAGCGTCAGATCCCACATCGACCATAAACTTTACTGTTCTTTTACCTTCCTAGCTGCCATGGCGATAGATTTTCCATACTAACCATCAAAATAATTGGTCCAACCCCTTGATATCGGAAAATCAAACACAAAGCTAGCAGAAAAGATAGACTGCTCCCAACACCGTTGATAAAAATTTCTTGGATTAGTGAGAAATTATGACGACCATCCACCACACATCCATCAATCAATCCTTTCTTAAGAAATGGGATGGAACATGGAACCCCGTATAGTGGGGAGGGACCTGCAATGTGTACTTATACAACACTTTCCACACAACTAATGACCCTTCCTGTCAATTAATCATTCCACATTCTAGAGGGAGAAATGAGCAAAATTATATATATATATATATTATAAAAACAAAAAGCAACAGTCTTTGCTAATGTATCATGGTCCATAGTTCCATGCACCATACCCTTCTCACATTGCTAACAATAACAAATTCAACAGTCATGTGCTGCCACAACAAATATGAAACAAAGCGAAAAAGAAAGAAAGAAGCAAAGAGGAGTGCAAGCCTGGGATTTTAAGTCTCACTAAGCTATAGCTTAAACTACAGTTTCAATCCAAATGAGTGGACTTTCTTTTAGAGAGCGGATAAATACTTCTTGGCTGCTTCAAATCTCCAATTTCTTCGATCATCTCTACATCAAAAGTCAAGGTGATCTGGCCCGAAACACCATTGTCCCTCCATATAATAGTTCAATAATCCCCTCCTACCTTCTCTTTTCACTAACTTCAATTATTGAAGTGAATACGAAAACAAAAATAAACATAAAATTTAAATGAGTACTGCTAGAACAACATCCGATGGTCTGATAACATACAAAGACATCCTGTTCAATCAATAGTCCCCTCATCCAAAGTCCTTGAAAAGAACCTATGCAAAACTGAAAGTTCTCCCTCCCCAGGGGATCTGATTTCAATGAAGCCGTAACAACCCAAGCCTGAAACAGAAGTCGTTTACTCAACTTTGCTTGGCTGGGTTTACTGAAATCCACAGGGGGTTATCTAAAAGATGTCTGCAATATTTATATTCCCCGTGAAACAGATTAAACTTGTTTCTTTATCTATCATGAGAACACTTGAAACAGCTTCCTGGACTGTGTTTACCTACAAGATGGTGACGAATTTCGGTGTATCAGTTCTTGGCCCTACAAGAGACCGATACATGTATAATATTTCAACAGCATCATCCATCTCCTCCTCATCAGCAGACCTAATCACTTCAACTACTAGGCGAGGCATAGCACGAGCAATCTCCTGGCAACCATGGCGAGTTAGCCTACATGAGGACATCCAAAGGAACCTCATGCTGTAGTAGTGATGCAAACCGGAACGCAGAGCTGCATCTCCAAATGGGCTATCTCTAATCTCAAGCTTCTGCAATTGTGGACAGCCCTCAAGCACATATTTAAGGGCCATGTCACT